TAGTGATCTCCTCAAAACGTATTTGATAACTGTGGAAAAGGAGAGGGAGAGGAAAAAGCGGCGACGAGAGTAAAACCCAGTTTCTCCGCTTGCTTTGATCTCTCACAAAGAAAATCTCAGACGAAATTTTTCTACGTTTTTTTGCCCTAAATCCCATTGTCTCTCTTCGTCTATCTCGCTTTCTCCATCGATCCTTCTTCTCCCTCTTACTCGTTCCATTTTACGGTAATGCCCTAGCTGTTCTTCATCTTTTTGAGGTTTTGGGGAAAAAAATCTTCGATTAAGAGTCGGAGTTTCTTATAGATTCTCTGGGTTTTGTTTAGAATTGGCGAATTTCTGTTCGGTGTTTCGATAAGAACTGAAAAATTAGGGTTTTTAGCCAGTCTCGCCGATGGCTCCTGGGCGTAAAAGAGGAGCGAACAAAGCCATAGCGAAAGGAGAGTTGAAACTGGGTGATCTTGTACTTGCTAAAGTTAAAGGCTTCCCTGCTTGGCCTGCTAAGGTGCGTCTTCTTCTCTCTCGCTCGCGTAGTTGGTGCTCGGTTTCATGACGTTTTGATTCGTGATCGTGGTTTTTTTTTGGTCTTACACATACTGTTGTTTGGTAGTTTTCTTCTCCTCGTTTTCGTTTTTATCTATTCACTAAGCTCTATAGCTATTACTATCATCTGTTTTTTGAGGGGGTACGTTGGGATCTTCAACAGATTATTGTATTGTTTTGTGTTAGTTTATGGATTTTCTGGATAGCTCCAACGCTCTGTTTCCTCCTTGAATGTCTCACCTTAGTAGGTTTCATGATAAGGCTGGTTTATAGTATGTCAAAGCAAACTGCTTTTTGTGCTGAAGTTGAGTGTAGTTTGAAGCCTATAGTATAAACCTCTAGCTTATTGCTATGTAGTATCTTTATGTTCAGAGCATTGAGTTTGTTTGAATTGCTTTTAGTTCTGATTGAGCTACGTGGGATTGTTCATTTTGACTTAATTATCTCCTGTGAAGTAAATGGTTTTGAATTTCAGATCGGCCGGCCCGAAGACTGGGATCATGTTCCGGACCCAAAGAAACACTTTGTTCAGTTCTTCGGAACACAGGAAATGTAAGCAAGGCCTCTTCTGTTTTTGCTGATTGTTAATGAGTATGTATTTTATCATGACCCAGAAAGCTATATGCATTTTCGTCTAGTCAATTTATCATCTTACTTTAATAAGGCAGTTCCCTCCCTGATGGCAACATCATTTCTTGTTTTCCTATGTTATTGTAGTCTGATATTTGTTTTCTCAAGATTAGTTGTTGACCTAGTTATCTTCCTCTAATGCAGAGCTTTTGTTGCGCCACCTGATATTCAAGCCTTCACTAGTGAGGCAAAGAATAAACTATTAGAAAGATGTAAAGGTAAAACAGTCAAGTACTTTGTACAAGCCGTGAATGAAATCTCTGCTGCATTTGAAGAGTCGCAGAATCACAAGTCAGATATGTTGGGGAATGAGGCTCTTTTGATTGCTGTTGAGCCTAGTTTGACCAAGCCTAAGATATTGGATGGGACAGATCATAGAGAAGCTAGGAATGATCGAAATTCTGATAAGTTCGATCCTAGGGCTGATCCTTGTCTCCATAAAATAGTTGAGAAGAATGGTGCAGAGACCAAGCCGGACATAGGAGAGGAGGATTCGCCTTCATATCTTAAATCAAATAAAAGAACCAAGTCCACAAGTACTGAGCCATTGGAGCACAGATCACCTGATCCTAACCTAAAGGTAGCAGATTTTGATGATAAAATTGATGATGCCACTCGCACTGAGCATTGTTGTGGTGCTGGAAAGAATTCGGTCGATGGTCAGAGAAAAATAAAAAAGATAGCAGGTGACTTGGATAAAAGATGTAAAGATGAGGTTCATAGAGTGAAATGTGGGACTGATAGTCGAGCTGCTACAGATAATCGTCTTCGTGGTCCTAACCAGAATTTAAAGGGCAGTAAAAAGGAATCTTTTGGCAATAAGGTGGTTTCTGATCTTAACAGCCCTAGTTCTAAAAAGCCAAAAGAGTTGCTGAAAGAGAAACCCAACGCCCTTGGCTCTAAAAGTGGTATTTTAGGGAAGAAAAAGAGGTTTGAAAGTACACTAGGAAATTCTGCATCAGGAGCAGATGAAAGTAAACGTGCTACTAAGAAGCCACGGTCTGAAAATGCGAAGGATCAAAAACAATGTAAGAGCAAAGGTTTTCTTCCTGTTAGTGAAGGCAAGGCTGAAGGATTTGATTCTACTGGCATTGTATCAGTTCAAAAGCGTGAGCTTGTGTTAGGGGTAAGTGCCCTAGGAGGAAAAATTCAATTTGATAAGGAAGTGGTCGCTTATACAAAGCGCCGCAAACAGACAGTGGAGCACACAAGTGTTCCCTCTTTTTCTGGTTCTCGTGATAAAGAGGGGACAAATCATACAGCACAGAAGGTTAGTTCATCTTCTGCTGGCGATGTGAAGGTTCAAGCTGCTCAGCTACCAAAGAGACGGAGGGCAGTTTATATCT